GAACAGAACACAGGAGACAGCTAACCAACAAACTCAGCTCTGCCACGAGCTGGTAGCTTGTGGATACTGGAGGCACAAACCATGGTTACTTCACTTCCTTATATTCAGCTGAATTTAGACTGGCTGAATGGCAAAAGAATACTAATGTGCATACTAAACAGTATTTTCCTAGGCAAAAAGCAACCCAAGATAGAAAGCTGGATCAGCAGAGCCCCACAATTTGGAAATGAGCCTGTCAGCAGGTGACTGACATTATATTCAGGCTGAAGCTGCATGTGTCTTTGAGAACTGTTGCATCTATTTAATATAAATTAAAAATGCACTCACTGGAGTAAGAAGATCTGGACCTAAGTAGTCCATCTGTAATCTCCTTATCTCTAAAACATGTGCCAGGAATTAATAATGGAGTCAGGATTTGTTTAAAAATTAGGCCTTATTATAAAGGGCGTCTATATTTTCTGTGTGAAATACGTGCTCAGGGGAAGAAGGTAAACATGGGATTGTTTTTACTGGAGAAAAAAATTTCTCTCTACCTTCTTCCACTTCTCTCTGATGCCAGCCTGCCATGACTAAACAGAAGTTTTAAATCAGGTACAGCTAACTACACCTCTTTCTGCGTGTTACTTTTTACAGACATAACACTTGGCAATCCTTCTTAAAGCAGCACTTCTCTTTCCCCTCTCTGAAAAACCTGCTGTAACTGCACCCACTCCACTCTCTTACTGTCCTTAAAAACTCCCAGCCCCAATAGCAGCTGACAGATCCAAGATTACCTTATGACAGCCATGCATTGCAATATCAGCTCCAGGTTTGCATTATGATCATAAGATACAAGATATATAAAATATGTTATATTACTTATCTATCATGAGGATTGTAAGAGGAGCAACTAACACATTCCTTACTTGTTTCTCAGGTCTTGAAAAATACTTTTACTGCTCACCTATCAAGGCAAGGGCATTGCTAGCCACACAAAAGTAGGACAGGAGTGGAGGAGCCTAGGAAGTTACTACACTATTCCATCATCACACAGACATGTTGGAAGCAGGAACGCCATGAATTACGCTGCTTCTCATGGGATATAAAGTCCACTAGCCCACAGTCATGCTTTAGTCCTTCTGCTCTAGCTACAGGTAACTCATTCACGTGGAAATTTATTTCTTCTGTTACTAGTTAGTGTAACTGTACATATCATTTTGCAATGGTAAAACTACCTACTGACTTGCTGTAGCTTTCTAAAAGCGGTCTTTAGAAGCCCAATGTTTCAGGTAGTGCTGTTTTAAACTATTTAATGTAAACTAATTTTGACTACGTTAAACAATTTACACTGACTGGTAATGCTTTCTAGAGAAATACGCGAGTTAAGTTCAGTTCTGTAATTGCAATTAAGTTATTAAAGAAGTAACTGCCATCTGTCAGAACATCTGCTTTGGCGTTTGCCACTCCAAATTCTGACACGTGAAAATGCCACCAATAGCTGCAAATCTTGCTTTACCGTAAACAACATTGTCCGGTTTTCTGCAATGTCTGTTGGCTGCACAACACTGTGTCCATAGATAAGTTGACTTTTAAGGTTCAGTGAAATTGCATCTTCTTCAAAAGACCTGACAAAGCTGTTACTCCTATGGCTTCCCTCTTGCAAATCCTTCTTAAAAGCCAAGGAACGAAGCCCAGGCTGAGAAAATGATTTCCTAATTGGCCTTTTCTCCTCCTCTTCACTGACCAAGGGCTGGAAGACAGACCGAAATTTGTTGCTGAAAGAGAAGCCTCCGAAGTTATTGGCAGTTTCATGTTGTTGGGATGATGAGTTGAAATCTGATTTTTTTGTACAACTTGCACGATTAAATTTCTCTATGCATTCATCTATGAGTGCTGGAGGTGCATTTTTATGTGCTACTGTCACCCGTCCACAGAACAGCACCTCAAATTTTTTGGCAAAAGGGTCTTCAACGTCTGAGAGATTATTCTGAAACTCTTCTTGACGAGCAATTTTTCCTGCTTGTCGAATAGAGCTTATAATCTCAGGCACCTACAGGAGGGGAAAAAAAAATACACAACATTAGCATCTAGTGCTTTATGACAAACAAGTTGCAACACTAAGACGTGCTCCCTGCATTTTTCTGGAGTGACTAATTTGGTTTTGTTTTCTGAAAGATCAGTTGAGTTGATCTTGTATTTGTCCAATAGACACATTATAGAGTTCAAACACTGATTAGCTGAATTGCTCATTTGTTTCGCTGCCAGGAGTTCACCATCATCAACACGTTGTCAGAACAGCTTCGTCTCTTGTAATGCTGTATGTTTTCAGTAAAACTTTTGCACCTGGAGGAACCAGTATAATGTGACAAATTCAAACTCAAAATGAAAGATAAAAATACTTCAGAAAGCATAAGAGAAGCCACAGACTAATTAATTGGGAAAGTTATTTAATCTGTTATTTTTCACTCCCTTCTCTTACTCAAGCATTCATGTCATGTACATTAATGAGTCTCTTGCAAATTCGCTTTCAACTTCATAATAGCATTATTACGTTGTTATAGCAGTTTGGTGTTTGGGGTTTTTTTTAACTGTAAGTAGCTGTGTTTTTTAAAGAAACACATTCATTATTTTAGATGTTCATTTTTATTCTAGCATCCTAGATGACACTCTTGAATAATATTACTTCCACATACGGTATCACTTGCAGGGCATTTGTATGAGAGAGCAGTCTGCTACAGCCCACAGATGTTGTAATTATAAAAAAAACCGCAAACTGCTATCTGATATATTGTAAGTAACAGTAAATGGTCACAGTTTCCAATATGGTTATACGGTAGGAACATGCACATGCTATCTGCTAAGCTGCTGCGAGGCCGATGCTTGGTTACATCCCACTGCTTTGACTGGCCTAGGAGATTAAGGTTCTTCCGAGGCATGTGCTGCTGCCATAATGACAAATGCGGGGCCACCATCTATGATTACAACAGATAATTCTGCCAACTTTTTAATTCTCCCAAATTACTTTGAGAAAAATCCAAGCTAAGTGTGCCAGTTTCCTGACAAAACAAATTTCCTCTGCCAAGCATCGATCGGGTATTTGGCTGCAGATAGTACAGAAGGAAGTCTGGGAGCAGCAGACTAAAACAGCAGCCTAGAAAAGCCATCTCCCCTATGAGAAAAGGCATCCCTGAACCTAAACAATGCTGTGGAGACACAACCTCTGTCTTTTCCAGACATTTCTATGGTTATCTAATGGTTAAGCATAATGCAATAATGTAGATAAACCAATGCAGGAAACAGCAAAGGACTTAAAGGAAAAAAAAAGGTTGAACAGTGAAAACTGAAGGGTTATATTCTGGGTGCTCATAAAGACCTCAGTAGGATTCTTTTTATGAACAAGGAAACACAGATGTATAGATATAGATAGATAGATAGATATACACACACACATATAGCTAGTGGATTTAAGACAATAAGTAACAGATTACAAAATAAATAAATAACTCAGGAAGAATTACTTCACCCTTGAGGGCAAGGCATGAGTCATCAGTTAGTCACCCAGCAAAGACAATGGGGGAGAGGTAAGAAAAGCAGGGTCATGACTTCAGAAGTCTGTCTCAGCTGTGTCACGAACCAGTCAGAAAGCCTTAGGCTCAGGCAGTGTCGTGACTAACGTTTTAATCATAGAAAAGAAGAATGTAAGGGTATAACGAATCTTTACTACCTCAAACGATATGCATTTGCTCCACAGTGAGCTCAAGGTTCACTTCAGTTTTATTTACCTTTATTTACTCCTTCAAAGAACCAAATTTTAGTCGCATAACATATCAGGATGACAGTGAAACATAAAACTTAACCCATATTTCAAGCTGCAAATGCTTTAGCATTTTCTAATAAACGTGTTTGATTCGTGTGGGAGTGTCTGGACTCACCAGCCATAGGCAATTTTACTTCTGAGTTGCCCAGAATACACGCAGAGACCTGCGATCCCATCTCCACTTTTACTGAGGCTGCAGAGGTGACAGCAAAGGAATGAAGTATTTCCTGGAGAATGCTCACGTCATCAGAGTCGGGAACATCAGCCCTCACCCAGGCCAACTGTGTCACCATCTCAGTCAGGGTTAAGTTCCCCCAGCATCATCTGTGCTGATGACTAAAAGGAGAGTTTCCAGCAGTGCAGGTGCTGCAAGGGTCATAGCTGAGCTAAAGTCCAGATAAGACATTAGGGATCCATTACAGATGCACAGTTATTGAATTTGATTTCTTCAATGTTTTTTGTTATCAAACACCTTGGACATTGACAAAATTGCTAGTCAGCAGTGGCTGGACTTTACATACAGACAGTAGTTAGAGAAAGACACTACATCACACAGAATGACTTTGCAGTAGTTAATAAACTTCATGTTTGGGGAGACCTAGCAGGCCTATTGATGAAAACCAAGGGGAGTATTTATTTATTTATTTTCACACATGCTAAGGCTTGAATTATGTCATTTATAAGTAACAGCTGGCTTCCGTGCTACACTTACTGAAAAACACTGACTACTCTGTTCCTGCTTATTAACCTAAAAAAATTCACAGCCTGTTAATATCATTTTATTACTTCCGATTAGGCAATTGATGCAGTATTGCTCTAGCAGAAGCAGCAAACCACCACCTCACTTCCCTGTGACCCTTATGTATGTTAAACATTAACCTCTTTTCATTAGTAAAGACAAGATGCCATGACGAATGAGAAAAAAACAAAATACATATTTCCTGGAACTGTTCTTGGCCTGATCAAGATTTGTGCTCTTTTCATCTACCTGTAGCATTCCAGGCCTTTTATGCAAGTATCTGGAAACAAAGAATCCACACGCTCCTGTGTGTCCTCTGACCCTCACTCCCTCAGCAAACAGACCTGGATGCTGAGTACATGAAGATCAAATAAACATTAGTTAAAAAAAGAGAAAGAAAAAAAAAAACTGTGAAATGTAAATACATATTA